GCAATTGAAATCAATATATTTGAAAATGTAGAAAGCATTCACAAATATTGAAATAAATGATATTCTATCATTTGTTAACAGTGCGATTAATCGCGATTAAATTTTTTAATTGCTTGACAGCCTTAATTCCAGTTGATTTATTCTATAAATATATGGTATAAATGAGAAAGTCAGCAATTTCAGGAATAGTGTGCTGTGAAACTTTGTTATTTTTGTGTCTGATTTTGTAAGTAAGTAATTTTTAAGTGAGGTGAATCTTGGGGGTAGGCAAGACAAATCAGACTCCTGAAAGGGGTACAGTAGTCTTGAAACATTGAGAGCCACTGCACTAGACCAGTGATACTCAGACCTCAGTGGTTCAGGAGCCAAATTAGCAATCAATATTACCCAAAAGAGCCACAGTCGTGTGAATTCATTGTTTCATTTACTATAGATTCATATTTAAACAGTGTGACGGGGAAATATTTAGTTTTTACTTACACACACACACACACACACACACACAAAGTAGAACCTCAGTTACAAACATCTTGGGAATGGAGGTTGTTCATAACTCTGAACAAAACGTTATGGTTGTTCTTTCAAAAGTTTATAACTGAACATTGACTTAATGCAGCTTGAAACTTCATGATGCAGAAGAAAAATGCTACTTTCCCTTTTTAAGTAGTTTACATTTAACACTCTATTGTATTTACTTTTTTCCCCCGTCTCTGCTGCTGCCTAATTTGTACTTCCAGTTCCAAATGAGGTGTGTGGTTTACTAATTAGTTAGCAAAATGACTGATCAAGTATTATTATTTTATCAACTCCAATCGGTTAATAGCATTGTAAAAGCATCCCGACTGGTTAATAATTAAATCAGTGTTTTAATGTCATGCGTTGCAAAGAGACACGTTAAAGAGCCACTTGCTGCTTGCAAGCCTCAGTCTGAGTATCACTGCACTAGACAGATACCACTCTGTTGGGCTGGAACCCAGGAGTCCTGGCTACGGCCCCCCCCCCAGCTCTGACCACCAGACTGAATGCCAATTCCAGCAGGTTTTTCTGTGTGAAGCAGGGTCCATGACACACTGGGTAGCCATCAGCAGACCCAGCAGCTCCATCTGTGCCAGGAGAGGTGACCTCCACTTACCGGCAGTGAATTCGGGGGGCAAGTAGCCCTGCCGGAGCTGCTGCCAGCCCTCCCCTCCATTGGGTAGCTCCATATTGCAGGCGATTTCCAGGATAGTCATGCCAAGGCTGGAAGAGAGATGCGCACGCTGGGTCAGCCAGGAGCCAGCCTCCCAGAATCCTCTGCTCCCTGCCACACGCCAGGGTGCCTGGACTTGGAGCACATGGGGCAGCGAGGGGGTGGTGGTCAAGGAAGCGGGGGGAGGGGGGGCGCGGCGTGTAGGCCAGGAGATGGGTCTAGTGGATAGAGGGGTTAGGCTGGGAGTCAGGACTCCTGGGTTCTATCCCTGGCTCTAGTGGGCCCACCTGAAGACATCAGCCGCCTCACTGTACTCCCCCCGCAGCAGCTCGGGCGCCATGTAGCGCGGGTCGCCCTCCTGGGCGTCACTCAGGTCTCCACGGTCCAATTCCAGCACCAGGCCAAAGTCGCCCAGCTTGCAGACACGGCGCTCGGTGAGGAAGACGTTGGCCGGCTTGACGTCCATGTGCAGCAGCCCGCAGGCGTGCAGGTGGTGCAGCGCCTGCAGCAGGTCCCAGAGGCAGGCCCGCACCTGGCCCTCGGGCAGCGTCCCGCGCCCCTCGCAATGCTGCAGCAGGCTGGCCGGGCACAACTCCGTCTGGATGTACAGCTGACCCCGCTCCTCCCAGGCCCGCACGAAGCTCACACAGTTGGGGTGGCGCCCCACCCGCTCGTGCTTCCGCACCTCGGCCAGCTTGCGCTGCCGGTCGCCGGCGCCCCGGAACGGCTCCACCGAGCGCTTCACTGCGTACAGCCGCCCGTCCTCCTTGCTGCGCACCTGTGGGGGACAGATCAGACGTAGACGGTAGGGCCAGGACCCCCCCCGACAGATTCCCTCCTTTCCCCACAACTCAGCCCCACAGAATAGCTCCATGCTCGCTCTCCTTGCTGCGCACCTGGAGGGGACGGATCAGCCCCCAGTGGGGACAGGCCCAGGTGGACAATCATGCTCATCCCCGAAGCTGGGATCCCCCAACCCCCACACCCCTTCCAGCTAGGATCTCCCACCCCAGGTGTCCGTCCCCCCTTACCTTATACACCTCCCCGAAGGAGCCGCGCCCCAGGTGGCCCAGTAGCTGGAAGCACTGGCTGAAGAAGGGCTCTCTGCGGGCAGGGTTGTAGAGGCGGCTGCGGGGGGCCAGCGCCCGGACCTGGGAGCCGCGGAAGGAGACGCTGCGCGGCCGGGGCTGGCTCCAGGGCTGCGGTTGGCGGCCAGCGAAGACCCGGCTGACAGTCAAGGTGCCCTTGTGGCGCGGTCGGGGCGGGAGGGTGTAGCTGAGCGGCCGGCCTGGCCTCTTCACCGAGAAGCTGCGCTCGGCCTCCTGGAAGAAGGCCGGCACAGGCGCCGGCAGGGGCGTGCGGCTCAGCTGGGACTCGGCCCCCGCGCAGTCCAGGGGCAGCGGCATGGCCGGCTCTGCCAGAGGGAGGCGCTGCAGGGAGAGAGAAAAACAGCCCCCCAGGGTCAGCAGCGTGGCTGGGCACAGCGAGGGAGAGCACCCAGGGGCTGGTGATGCGGGGGAGGGGGGCGGGGGGGGTTTCCCGGTCAGCACCTATTGGCATGAGCGGGGGGGGGGGGGGACTCTCCAGGCCCGGGCCCCGTGGCACGAGCGTGGGATGGGGTCACCCCTGCAGCGCTCCCGCCTTGGCCTGAATGGGAGAGCTCAGGCTGTTACCCCGTGGGGTGGCGGAGGGGTCGAGGGGGGGGTCCCTTGGCAGGGGGAGAGGGGGCCATGGGGGCAGCAGGTGGAGGGGGGCATTGGCAGGGTCTGGTGGGGGGGGGTCCGGTGAGGGGGTGTGCTGGCATAGGGGGAGGGGGTGTGTGTGGGAGGGGGCCCTGGTGTGGGGGGAGGAGTCCGATGGGGGGGGGAAGGGGGTCCGTCGGGAGGCGGTGGTGTGTGGGGGGGGGGGGGGCCTGGCCGGGGAAGGGTGGGAGAGGTCCAGCGATGCGGGGGGTGCTGGAAGAGGGGCGGGATCTGGCTGGGGGGGGCCGCTAGAGGGGGGAGGGGTCTGGCTGGGGGGGGCCACTAGAGGGGGGGAGGGGTCCGGCGAGGGGGGGCCGCTAGAGGGGGCGGCAGGAGGGGTCTGGCTGGGGGGGGCCACTAGAGGGGGGGTCCGGCGAGGGGGGGCCGCTAGAGGGGGCGGCAGGAGGGGTCTGGCTGGGGGGGTCCGGCGGGGGGGGCGTCCCCGCTCAGCCCCCCCCCTTGGCCTCAGCGAGGGGGCCCGTGGGCGGGGTGTCGCAGGGGGCGGGGCCGGCGGGGGCCCCTGGGGGCGGGGCGGGGGCCTCACCTCCTCCCCGGTCCCCGCGGGGCGGGGGCGCCGCGCTCGCTCCCCTCCAGGTACCCGGATGTGACGGGCCCCCCGGCAGCCCCTTCCCGCGCGCGCGCCCCGAGCCAGCCCAACCGCCGCTCCGCCTGGCGCCAAAATCGCCCCCGGCCCGGCGCGAGCCGCCAACCGCCTCCCGCCAACACCTCCTCAGCCAATCAGAGGCGAGAGGCCGGCATGGCCCCGCCTCCCCCGCTCGTTCGCCCCGCCCACTCTCGCGCCGCCAGGTGACGCTCCCGCCCACCATGCACTGGGGCAACCAAAGTCTGGCCAACCCCCCCCCCCTCGCCTCGCCCCCCGGCTCCCTCGGGGCAGCCCCCCCCCGCCCCATGGCAGCCCCCTCTGCCGCCCAGCCCCCACCCACAGCCTCCCCAGCCCACTCCACAGGGACAGCACCCCCCGAAACCCCCAGCCCCCTCAGGGAGCCCCCATGGCAGCCCCTCGCCGCCCAGCCCCACCCCACACCTCCCCAGCCCCACCCCACAGGGGACAGCACCCCCCCCGGAAACCCCCAGCCCTCCACAGGGGCAGCCCCCCCATGGCAGCCCCCTCTGCCGCCCAGCCCCCACCCCACAGCCTCCCCAGCCCCACCCCACAGGGGACAGCACCCCCCCCGGAAACCCCCAGCCCTCCACAGGGGCAGCCCCCCCGCCCCATGGCAGCCCCCTCTGCCGCCCAAACCCCACCCCACAGCCTCCACCCACAGGGGACAACGCTCCCCCGGAAACCGCCAGGCCCCCTTAGGGGCAGCCCCCCCACCATGGCATCCCCCTCTGCCGCCCAACCCCCACCCCACAGCCTCCCCAGCCACCCCCCACAGGGGACAATGCCCCCCAGAAACCCCCAGCCCCCCTCAGGCGCAGCCCCCCTCGCCACCCAACCCCCACCCCACAACCTCCCAAGCCCCAGCCACCACCCACAGGGGACAACGCCCCCCTGGAAACCCCCAGCCCTCCACAGGGACAGCCCCCCCCACCTCCAGGGATAGCAGTTCCCCTCCCCCGCCTCAAACAGCCCCCCCCCATGTACGGGGGCAGCCCCAATAACGACCCTCGCCCCCACCCTTGGGTGGTGGGGGGAGATCCAGAAGCTCCCCAGTGCATGACCTCCAGGGTGTCCCATATCCAGTCCCCTCCCCCCGCCCCACCACTGGGCAAGCCAGCAGCCTGGGGAGTGGGGAGACAAGCCGCATGGGTGGTTTGCATGTGGGGGGGCTGAAAACCAAGGCCCCACATTTCGTTCGGGGTGGAGGATCCCTCCCATGTGTTAAATACCCCAGAGAAAATACCCCTTGTCTGGGGTAGGTAGGACTAGCCATGGTTGCCTGGACAGGCCCCCCCCCCCCCGTTGTTCCCCAGAGACTCAGCTTTAATTTTTTTTTCTTTTAAATGAAGACTCCAGCCGCTATGATGTCAAAGAAAAGCTTCAAAATGCGACTGGAGGAGAACCAACGTCTGCCTGAGTCTTCCGAGAGCCAGAGCCGATTGCTGGGAGAGGTGTGAACTGCCCCCAGGATACAGCATACAAAGATCTGGAGACTTCAGCTTTGTGGGGGACCTTTATTACAAACACTCCCACACCCCACTCTCCGGATACAAATGAGAATTCGCTGCCTATCCAGTGAAGGGGAGTTAACAATTCAGTCACCCCCCTCTGTGCATCCCATATTCCTGTACTGACCTACCCTTAAAATCCCTCTCACCTCACTGGCCAAGACCAAAGAGGCAGGGAAGTCAGGGGTAGGGTGACCAGATGTCTCGTTTTTATAGGGACAGTCCCGATAATTGGGGCTTTTTCTTATACAGGTGCCAATTACCCCCATCCCTGTCCTGATTTTTCACACTTGCTTTCTGGTGACCCCTGACTAGGGTGACCAGATACGTCACAGCCTCACTTTTGAAAAACCAAGTTAAATTGACAGTCATCATTTGTTTTTCCTTTAAAAAGACAGATCTCTAGCCATTAAAAATAAAGTGGGGGAAAAAAAGAGAAAGATGATAATTTAGATCAGGAGAAATTCTTTGTTTTTTTTAGCACCAGAAGCGGCAGGCTCATGCCATCCTGTGGCCTGGAGTTCCTCAGGTGAAGGTCTGGCATTCAGCACTTCCCGGGAAGGCAGCGACCTGGAATAAAGAGAGGCATGGGGTCAGAGCTTCAAGAGAGCAGCACATCTCCAAGGGTGAGTGGAGGCTGGTGCATCTATAAGGGACAGCCACACACAGTGGTAGACGGCCATTCCCTCCCATAGCCCCTGCCTCCCACCTCCATTAGAAAACAGGGCATGGATTCTGCCTGGGACATATCATCATATATCTTACTTGCTGCATGACCCCCTTCCCCAAAATAACCCCCCTGAAGTTCACACTGCTGTGACTTTTGCAGCCACTTCCTTAGCCAAACTGCAGAGATTTGGCTCCTCTAGCCTATGCCCTCCCCCCAGAAAACCCCCTCCAAGATTCACACCTCTCCCCCATCTCCGAGATTCACACCCCACTGATACACATGCCTTCCCCAATTCTTACCTCTGTATCCATTCCCCAGAAAGCTGTTCAGGCCATACTTGGCCTCCTTGCCTCCTAAAAGGGGATGAGAGCAGATGAGAACCAGTCACAGGCCGTCCCGGTCTCTGCTACCCAAAGGAGAATCACTCTCTGAGGACAGCACTAGAGGGCATAGGACACACACGCAAGAGCAGTTTCGGTTGCATCACTAGACAATAGGTTACAATGTGAAATCTCGCCCCCACACACTCCTACCGTATGCTGCTGGGGTTAGTCCATAGCCCCCGGGAGCTTGCCCTACTGTGAGTGGCCCGTATCCCCCTGCAACAGAGACAAGAGTTAGCATGGGGCACTGAGGGGAGTGGGGCAGGAGCGCTGGCTGTGGGGGGAGCTCCCGCTACTCCAGTCCCAGGAGCAGATGCTATGTGTGGGGGACTCTTACCAGCAGCCAGTCCGTTAGCCTGCAGGTCCCCTCCGTTCGCATAGCCCCGTCCGTTCCCGTTGCCTGCAGCGGTGGGAGGAGGAAATTAGCAAAGAGAAGGGGCTTTGAGCCCCTGGGAATGGGCACCCGTGTGTCCAGACGTGGGAGGAGAGCGGGGACCTCTCTGGGCAGCCCCTCTCCATTTCTTACCATCCAGGGCACTGAGCCCAGCCGGTTGTGCCCCATACATCAGCTGCCCTGCGCCACCTGGAGGAGGAAACACGGTGGTGGTGGGAGATCAGCAGGGGAGCGGGAGATCCCACCAAGGGCTGGGAAGGGGAGTGTGCTGGGACCCCAGGGAGCTTTTCCTGGGACGCTGGGACCCTGGCGGCCGGGTGGCCCTCATCCACTGCGGGCAGGGACGGGAGTAGATATCACAATGGGGCTGCAGCACTCACACGGCTTCCTGTCTGCACCCAGCCCGGGGCGCTGCAGACCATAGGGGAAATGCCTGGGGTCTCCTGTCGGGGCAGGGGGCAAGGTTATTTTAGGCAAAGCAAGGTTAGCGGGGGGCATCCCAGCCCCCTGCCCCACATCTCGGTGCAGGGGGGCTAAGATATTGGGCGGCCTAGCACAGACCGCTGTGCCCCAAATAAACGCCTTGGGGGGTGACTGCCCCGTACAGTCCCCTCTGTAACAACCCTCTGGATAAATTCCACCACCCATATGAGCCCAGAGCCCCTACCCACACCTACCGTATTTCCCACCGCCATAATCTCCCCTCAGACCAGTGGGCATGGCCTGTTGGGGCTGCCCATTGTATGGGAGCTGGCCCAGGCCTGCAACATAGACAGGGTGTCAGGATGGGGGATAATTCCCCTTTGTGTCCCCCTTGAGCCAGCCAGTTCCCCACACTGGGGCTGGATTGGAGCAAAAGGCCCCGCGTCCCATTTCCTATCCCCCAGAGCCCTGCGGTCAGAAGGGCTCACCAAATTTAGCAGCTGAGAGATCTCTGTCAGGGCCAGCGAAACGCCCTAGGTATGCGGCCTGGGCACCTGGGGATGGGATAAAATAAGGCAGTTAGCTTGGCCAGTGCCCCTCACTCCCAACCCACAGCCCCTGCTAGCCCAGCCCTGTGGTCCCCCACCCACCAGCTCTGCCAGTGCCCCTCACTCCTGACCCGCAGCCCCTGCCAGCCCAGCCCTGGGCTCCCCTCCCAGCTCTGCCGGTGCCCCTCACTCCCGACCCGCAGCCCCCTGCCAGCCCAGCCCTACCCCCCAGCTCTGCCGGTGCCCCTCACTCCCATCCCTCTTGTCATTGCACACACCGTTGCCGTATCCTGACTGGAGTCCGGCCCCAGGGTGACTGTTCCCTCCTCCACCATAGCCTAGAAGAGAGATGGGAGATCAGACCCGCTCAGCCTAGGTGTGTGGGGGAATTAAGTATAATTTGGGGTCCCCTTACCATTCCCGTATCCAGGCTGTGCTCCATTGACTATGTACCCACCACCTACTCCGGCATATCCTACGGAGCAAAGAGAATCCAGATCAGCCCAAAAATTGGGGTGCATTGCACCAGCCCGGGCCTCTGCCAGCAGGGAGTGCTGTGGGGAGTGGGGCAGGACGCTGGCTGTGGGGGAGCTCTGCCCTATTCCAGCCCCGGCCTCTCCCTGCAGGGGACGCTGTGCTTAGCTTATGCCCCTTACCTTGTTGAGCTGTGGGGTAGCTGCCGGCTCTGGGTCCTGCCCCAAAACCTGCGGGGAGGAGAACCCAGAATGAGACCAACCCAGACCCTGAAGAATCTGGCTTCCACAGTGTGGGCTCTGGCCCTGGGGGGTGGGATCATCGGGGGGGGAAGGGGGGAATCAGGGATAGAGTAATGGTGGGGGATGGTTAGCAGGGGGTTGGCACTTGTGCAGGGAGGGCTTTCAACCCTTCAGGGCCCCCCCCCCCCCCGCAGCCCAATGAGCCCTTCTCCCCCCAGGGAGCTGGAAGGGACATGGCCAGCTGGGCTCTCCTCAAGGTGTCATTGGTATGAGCTGTGGGATCTCCAGCGAGAAGGTGAAGAAAGGTGGTGGGGGATGGGGAAGAGGACACAGCATGGGGCGCACATAAAGAGGGATGGAGACATCGCAGGGGACACAGATGGGGGGTGCATGGGAGGGATTCCCTGCTTTGGGGGCTTTGCCACCCACCCCAAGGCCTGTTGGGGAGGAAAAGCAGAGGGGTCAGGGTGCGGGGGGTGTAGTGGAGGGCCAGGCACTGACCTTCCTGAGAAGGGGCAGTTGGAGGGGTAGAGTGGGTATGGGAATATAAGGGGCAGTGGGGTCTGACTCACCTCCCAGGGGCAGCGCAGCATGGAAGTACCCTGAAATAGACACACAGGGCACAGGGGGATGCTCTCAATCCTGACCCACAACTGCCTGCTATCCCAGCCCTGCCCCCACAGCTCTGCTGGTGTCCCTCAATCCTGACCCACAACCACTCTGTTTATACTCACCTGGCTTTTGTTTTGCACCCTGGGGATAACCACCTAATCCTGGAAAAAGGATAATGGGAATCTATGAGGATGCTGGGAGAGGAGTGGGGTCAAATGGTTAGAGCAGGAGAGGCTGGGAGCCAGGGCTCCTGGGTTCCATGCTTGGCTCTGGGAGGGGAGTGGGGGCTGGTGGGTTGGAGCAGGGGGGCTGGGAGCCCGGACTCCTGGGTTCTCTCCCATGCTCCGGGACAGGAGTAGGTTCTAGTGGGTTTAGCAGAGGGGTAGCACCATGGATACCCACTGCCCATTTTTGTGGCTGGCAGCTGGGCTGCGGACACGGATGTTGTACCCGCGCCGCGCTCTCCCGACCAGCCCTCGGGCTCCGAATCCAGCCCCGCGCTCTCCATCCCGCAGCAGCAGCACGTGACCCTGTCCCACAGAGCATCCTGGGAGTTATAGTCCCCAGCTGGCTCGGCCCGAGGGGAGTGCACCATGCGCTATTTTGAACAAGGCGTGGTTGTACTTTAAACTCCCGAGTGGCGGGCGCTGTGAGCAGAGTACGTCCTGGTGGGTCTGTGCGCGGGCGTGGGGGTGTCCGAGCCACTCAGGAAGATGGCGCTGCACACCGTGCCCTGGAGGCAGCCCCCAGCCCGGAGTGGGCAGGAGGTGTGTGGGGCAGGGCAGGTGGGGGTATGTGGGAGGCAGAGGCTTGACTCAGCCCTGTCACTGCTGTGTGGTGCCCTGCGCAGCTGTTTGTGTCTGCGCAGGGCTCAGCAGTCCTGGATGTCAGGACTCCTGGTTCTATCCCTTGCCAAGCCCCAGCCCCGTGCCTCAGTTTCCCCTTCCATACTCGAGGCTCACTATGGACGTCCCCTCGCCAACAGCCAGATGGGGGCAGGCTGGGGGCGGACAAGATTCCCCCCATCTGCAGTGCCCTGGGATGTCTCTAGTCGTGAGATCGCACAAGGGAGCAGTCTCCCCCAGCTCTGCGGGGAAAGCCGTGACCCCTGCGTCCAGCCTGCGCCAAATCGCCATGCTTTGGATTCTGATCAGCTGGTGGGAGAGAGTCGTGAGGTCTCCCCCATGCCAGACCCCCCACCCTTTGTCACTCAGGTTTGGGACTCAGGGGCAGTGAGGACTGCATGGGGAGATGGGGGCGCTCCTACCTGCACCATAACCAGCGGGGACCCCATAGCCTGTGCAGAAAGAAGGAGAGAGGGGTTAGAGCCAGATGTGTTTGTGGGAGAGTGCACAGCGCTGCCCACTACTGGAGGGGATCGGGACTCTGTGTGTGTGGCAGGTGCCCTATAGTGCTCCGAGCTAACAGGGATTCTCCTTTAGCGCCACACTCCCCAGAGAGGACTCCAGTATTTCTGTGGCTGGCGAGTCAGGGATTCACCCTGCCAAGGTGGGCAGAGAAAGGAGCCTTTGCCCTCTGGGGCAGCTGATCCCCACTCACCTGCTTTTCCTGGCTTCACCCGTACACCTGTTGCCACTCCAAAGCCGTTCGGAGCTCCTGCCGGGAACAGAGAGGAAAGGGATTAGCTGGGAGGCGCAGCGGACGAGATGGGCTCCATCTCTGCCGGGGAAACAGTCCTTCTCAGACAGAGCTGGCCAGGTCTCTGCCCTGGGCGGCACAGATCTGGGGTGTGGAGTCTCATGGCTGGAGGACACGTCTTCTGGAATCCCACCACCCAACTGTCCCTGCTCCCAGCCAGCACAGTTTGGGAAGGAGCTGAGACCAGACGTCACGAGCACCATGGGCAGCACCCAAACCACCCAGCAACTTCCACCCCTAGCCTCTCATTCCCCGCCCCAGCCGCACTCCCAGGGCTCACCTGGTCCCGGCTGCAGTCCTTGGGGTCCATAGCCGGTGTGTGGTCCTGGGAAGAAGGAGCAGACACTAGGATTGAAGAATGCAGCAAATGCACCATCACAGTTCGCTACAGGGAAGTTGGATCTAGTGGGTCAGAGCAGGCGGGGCTGGGAGCCAGGACTCCTGGGTTCTATCCACGACTCAGGGAGGGCATTGGGGGTTGGTGGGTTAAAGCAGGCGGGGCTGGGAGCCAGGACTCCTGGGATCTATCCATTGCTTGGGGAGGGGAGTGGTAGGTTAAAGCAGGCAGGGCTGGGAGCCAGGACTCCTGGGGTTTATCCACAGCTCTGGGAGGGGAGTGGGGACTAGTGGGTCAGAGCAGAGGTTGGCTGGGAGCCAGGACTCCTGGGTTCTATCCCAGCTCTGGGAGGGAAGTGGAGTCGGGGGTAGGGGCTGGTTGTCACCAACCTGCCTTGGCTCCAGCTGGTCCCAGCCCAGCTCCAGGGTGAAATCCCCCTACACCTGCAACCCATATAGCACATGGAGTGAGCCAGCCCCCTGAATCCCCCCAACCTGCTCTCCTGCTGCGAGACCATCCCCCCTCCCCTGAGAATGCTGGGTCCAGCTCAGCCAGTCATCCAGCCAGGGACCCCTCCCTGGGCAGCCCTGCCTCCTTTCCTCCAGCCCCCCTCTGCATCCTTCGTCCAGCCTCGCACACACCCCTTCCCTCTCCCTGTCTCTCCAAGCCCAGTCTGCCCACTCAGGAACAGCTCCCCCTGTTCCCGGCTGGGGTGCCACTTACCCCGGATCAGCGATGGGAGGTAGAGACGCCTTAGGGCTCCGTTTGCCTGCGGTTTCACTCCTGGGAGGGAGTACAGGGGGGGGACGTAGGGGAGCTGTCAGAGATGGGGTATCTCCAGAGAAGCGCTGGGGGGCAGGGTGATCAGGGGACACCAAGGGACTGGGGTTCCTGGGAGATATGAGAGGACTGTGGGCTGAGGGTCCCTGCAAGAATGGGCTGGAGAGTTGGTGTCCCTGGCAGAGGGGGCACTGAGGATGGGGGTGCTTTGGGGCAGGGATCCATGAAAGGGGGGGTTGGGGGCAACTCCAAAGCAGCGGGTAGAACCCAGGAGTCCTGGCTCCCAGCCCCATGGGTGGGCGTGGACAAGAGTGGCTGGTGGCACTTGAACTGGGATTTTGTGAACCAATCCAGGACTCCTGGGTTCTCTCCTCAGCTCCGGGAGGGAGTGGGGTCTAGTGGGTTAGAGCAGGGGGGGCTGGAAGCCAGGACTCCTGGGTTCTATCCCGGCTCTGGGAGGGGAATCAGCCTAATCTACCCCTTAATTGAATCCCCTTCTCAGTTTCTCTCCCCTCTGCCAGGGGTTAGGTCCCCCCCACACACACACCCCCACAAACAGCAGAGCTGTCCCCAAGTGTCCCCTCTGCCCCCCAGCACCTGCAGCACCCCACAGGGGCAGTGCAATCATATGAGGCAGCCCTGGCCCCCACCACTATCCTGTCCCAGCCCAGCCCCGCAAACCCCAGTCCCAGCCCCCCTGCCCTGCTCACCCCCCTGCAGGCTGCCCCTGGCCAGGCACAGCAGCAAAAGCAGCCCAGCGTACAGGGTCCCCAGCCCCATGGCGATGTGAGCTCCCCCTCAAGCCGTGAGCCCCCTATATACCCGTGGCCCCGCCCCCCCAGGGAACGGTTCTACCCCTGGCCCCGCCCCCAATGACCCACTTGCCAGGAGGGGGGAGCCCCGGCAAGGAGGGGGCAAGGGAATGTGTGTGATACACCCGCACACCAGTAGACACACTCTGTTGCTCGCAGTGATACACACACACACAGTGATACGCTCGCAATGAAACACACACTGATATCCACACATATACAGATGTTCACACTGTTACAGTGATACAGACACACCTTGAAACACACCCTGATCCACACACACATATACACCCCCATAGGCACACATACTGCTCCCCCCCACACCCTGTTCCACACACACACTGATACACACATTGATAGACACCCATCCAGACACACACATTGATACCCCCACACATACACTGATACATGCAAACACAGCCGGAGACACACACTGATCCACCCACACAAACACAGACACACACTGATACACACACCCCAACACACACTGCTGCATACACCCCACATTGTGCACACACCATACACCGATACACTAACCCACACACTCATATCCCACAGGCAGGCACACAGTTGCAAACAGTCACACAACACAGCTATGTGCGCCCACGGAGCAGGGGTCAACCCCTCAAGCAGGAGGTGGCAGGGACACCCCCGCATAGACACACAAACCTTGTTCACTGCAGCTTGTCAAAACCAGGTGTATGATTATGTAATTGTGTCTCACTTCTGACTCTGCAGTGTGGGAGTGGGGCTGTGGGTCGGGAGCAAGGGGGTACCAGCAGAGCTGGGGGGGGACGCAAGGGTGGGCTATCAGGGGGCTGCGGATCGGGAGTGAGGGGCACCGGCAGAGCTGTGGGGAGCCCAGGGCTGTACTAGTAGGGGGCTGTGGGTCAGGAGTGAGGGGCACCGGCAGGGCTGGGGGGGTCAGGGCTGGGCTAGCAGGGGGCTGTGAGTCGGGAGTGAGGGGCACCGGCAAAGCTGGCAGAGGAGCTCAGGGCTGGGCTAGCCTCAGCCTCTTGCTATACAGAATTTTTAAGGGCCTCCCATGCTGTGTGCTTCCTCCCAGCAGTGCCCTGGCAGCTGGCTGCCGTGCTGGAAGCTAATGCCGGCACGCGCCCCGCTGAGTAAGCCATAAAGCCGCAGGGTAATTTGCTCTGTCTGTTGTCACTGTCCAAGATAAACGCTGGGCCCCTGGCCCGGCTGGTAAAACACCGATCCCTGCGGTCGGCAAACAGCCCTCCAGCCAGCTCAGCAATGAGTCCGACCCAGCTGTGTCTGAGGAGTCTGGAGGCATGGGGGATCGTGTGTCGGGGGGGGAGGACTGACCCCCAGATCCTGCCCTATGGGGGGACCTCTGTTAGGATGGAAGTCAGAGACGGGAAATGGAAGGGGCAGGGAGAGAATTGGTGTGTATGTGAGCTGCACTGCCCCCTGCTGAAGGGGCTATGTATAGTATGGCGCCCCCTAGCACCAGACTGAGATATGGGGCCGGGACTCCTGGGGGCACGGCACCCCCTAGCACCAGGCTGGGATATGGGGTAGGGACCCCTGGCGGCACGGTGCCTGCTGTGTAGATCTTTGGGGCTCTCACCCTGCCCCGGCACATTTCGGGTGCATGATCCATTCCCTACCTCTGTGGGGTGGGGGATTGGGGGTGGGTCAGATGGAGGGAGGACAAATGCTGGCACTGTCAGGGAATGTCACATGGGGCAGGGGAAGGCGGGACTGAGAAAGCAGTGGCTTCCTCCCTGGGCAAGGGGACGAATGCCCCACTCCCCCAGGCCCAGCTGTCCCCCACTCTCCCCACCCGGCACGGCAGAGCCCAGGGGCGCTGTCCTGCCATCAGGGGACACGTCTCCCCCTTTTGTCCCCAGCATACAAAGGCTGGAAACTGACTCTGGAGCACTTCCCTGACCCCGGGAGCTGGGGATGAGGGGAAGAGACTGAGACTGAGGGACCCAGGAGTCCTGGCTCCCAGCCCCCACTGCTCTAACCCACTAGACCACAGTCCCCTCCCAGAGCTGGGGAGAGAACCCAGGAGTCCTGACTCCCAGGTCTGTCCCCACCCTCTTATCACAGTGCTCTCTTTTTCCTTCCTTCTCCTGACACATTCCTCCTGTCTGCCCCCTGACCCCCTTCTTCCTATTCCCCAACTGAACCCCTGCCCCAGACATCACAGCCCCCTGCCAAATTCTCCCCACCCAGCCACTATTTGCCTTTCCCATCAGCCTCTCCGGCTATCTGTGAGGGGGGAGCCCAAAGGGGGGTGACCCCAAGTGACCCCCTGCCCCATAACTCACAGGCCTTCCTTTTAAACACTGCCCTGTAGTATTTTACACTGTGAGGATACGGGGAGTGGCCGCTGGAGAGAACCCAGGAGTCCTGGCTCCCAGCCCTCCTGGACTAGCCCACCAGACCCCATTCCCCGCCCTGAGAACCCAGGAGTCCTGATCTATCCCGTTCCCACATCCCTTCTGTCTGGAAGGACGGATTGGGCCCTCGGATTCCCGGATCGGGCCCATCCGGGATTCAGGAACCTTCGCAGGGGGGCCCAGTATGCTGAAGGGAGAGGAAATGTCCCTTGGCTGGCGGCTCCACCACCGCGCCCTGTCTGGCAACAGAGTCCTGGCCGCCCCTCGTCCTGCCTGTCTGGCTGTCCTGCCAAGGGCTGGGCTCCCCCCAAGCTCTGCTGGTTCCCCTCACTCCCGAACCGCAGCCCCTGGTAGCCCAGCCCTGCCCCCCCAGCTCTGCCAGTGCCCCTCACGCCCGACCCACAGCCCCCCAACGGGTTAAGATCTCCCGGCTGATTTCGGCCCCTCCGCAGCTCTGAGCCCAGCCTTGTGATATTGACTTTGGGTGGTTCTTGGCCTGGTGCAGTAAATTTCCCCATCTCCTGGCTCCATGACTGGCCCTTGGGGGACAAAGCCGCGCTGGGCCGTTTGCTTGAGGGTGGCGGGGGGACAAGTCAGAGGAGGAATCGGGGCTGGAAGCGTGACGGGAACATCTCCAAGCCCCTTTGTTCTCCTGCCAGGGGCCTTGGCTGACTCTGGGATGGGAAGAAAAGGAGAGACGGAAGGGCTCACCGAGGTCCAGGCTAGACTGCAGGAAGGGGTTGGGTGTTGTTGCAGCTGTGGGGGGCGCTGTTCTGCCGCCAGGGTGTGGGTCCTGCCTCATGGCGCTGCTGGCGGGCTAGCAACCTGGGCTGGCTTATCCACTCCTGGCCTGCTCCTGGGTCTAATCCCAGCATCAGCTAATCCTAATCCCTGCGGAGATACACGGAGAGGGGTGGATGGAAACATTGAGGGGTGCAAAGGGGGGGGGCGAGAGAGAGACAGCCACTTGTGCTATCCCCCCAGCTCCCACTTCCCTCCCAGAGCTGGGCTAGAACCCAGGAGTCCTGGCTCCCAGCCCCCCCTGCTCTAACCCACCAGCTCCCACTTCCCTCCCAGAGCTGGGCTAGAACCCAGGAGTCCTGGCTCCCAGCCCCCCCTGCTCTAACCCACCAGCTCCCACTTCCCTCCCAGAGGTGGGGACAGAACCCAGGAGTCCTGGCTCCCAGCCCCCCCTGCTCTAACCCACCAGCTCCCACTTCCCTCCCAGAGGTGGGGACAGAACCCAGGAGTCCTGGCTCCCAGCCCCCCCTGCTCTAACCCACCAGCTCCCACTTCCCTCCCAGAGGTGGGGACAGAACCCAGGAGTCCTGGCTCCCAGCCCCCTGCTCTAACCCACCAGCTCCCACTTCCCCCAGAGGGTGGGGATAGAACCCAGGAGTCCTGCTCCCAGCCCCCCTCTCTAACCCACCAGCTCCCACTTCCCTCCCAGAGGTGGGGACAGAACCCAGGAGTCCTGGCTCCCAGCCCCCCCTGCTCTAACCCACCAGCTCCCACTTCCCTCCCAGAGGTGGGGACAGAACCCAGGAGTCCTGGCTCCCAGCCCCCCTGCTCTAACCCACCAGCTCCCACTTCCCTCCCAGAGCCGGGGATAGAACCCAGGAGTCCTGGCTCCCAGCCCCCCCTGCTCTAACCCACCAGCTCCCACTTCCCTCCCAGAGGTGGGGACAGAACCCAGGAGTCCTGGCTCCCAGCCCATCCGAAGCAAAACAGGAGCCCGCCAACCGCTGTTGGCTGCTAGATGTATGCCCCTCCCCCTGCATCTCCCCGGGACTCTCCCCAGGCCAGGCACTATAACTGCCCCTTCGGGGTCCAGGGGGGGAAAAGGGAGAGGGGGCAGGCCACTGCAGGGGGGAAAAGGGAGAGGGGGCCGGCTCTGCTGTCCCTGGCTTTGCGGATCCCAAGGACAATTTATCACCTCCCAAGGCTTTATCCCCAGCTGGGGGTAGGGGAGAGGAGGGCGGTTGAGAATGTAAGATCCAGTGTTGTGGGGGACCCATGTGCCTGCCCCCCCAGCCCCGTTCACACCAATGGGCCAGTATCCTCCCTCCCTTTATTACTTGGACGTCAGGGTACAGGAGAGTTTGGATCCTTCTCTTCTGTTCCCCTGAATCTTGGATGATCTTGTAGCAGGTAGTTCCACTGGCTCCCCACACAGAAACCCCCCTCCTTTGCTCCATGTCACAGCGTGTCTGCCCCACACAAGCGGTGAAAGGGTTCACGTGGGCCGGAGCGGCCAAACATGACATCGGTGGCTCTTGCAGGGTGGGCCAGGGGTAGTTAAAGAGGAGTCCCAGGCGGGGGGGGGGGGGGGCAGGGGAAAAAGGGGATGCCAGTGCGGTTACCCTTCCACAGTCCCTTATTCAATGCGGGTAGAGGGGGCAGGCCTGGGCGAGCAGGGGCTGCGAGTTGGGAGTGTGGGGCACCGGGAGAGCTGGGGATCGGGGGAGCCCAGGGCTGGGCTAGCAGGGGGCTGCGGGTAGGATCATTGAATCCCCTGCATACAGGGCTCCCTCCTCACTGGCCGCCCCTCCCTGCTCTCGAGTCATGCGGCATTGGGGCGTCCCGTGCATTTCTGTGTCCCAGCGATCTGTGCTGTGAGGGGGGTGGGGGTGGATGATGGACATGTGTGTTTGGGGGGGGGAGTCTGCTCCCTGCTGTGTGTCATGGGCCCTGCACTGCTAACAGCCCAGGAGACTCCCTCAGGCACACAGAGCCTGTCCCCCACCCCTCCTATCGGCCCAACCAGTCTGCGCACTGCACGGGAATGGCCAGGAGAGGGCGCCAGAGACCAAAGGAACAGAACGCAGCCCTGCCGGGCCCCTCACTCCCGACCCGCAGCCCCCCCGCTAGCCCAGACCTGCCCCCCAACCCTGACGGGCCCCTCACTCCCGACCCGCAGCCCCCCGCTAGCCCAGACCGCCCCCAACCCTGCCGGGCCCCTCACTCCCGACCCGCAGCCCCCCGCTAGCCCAGACCTGCCCCCAACCCTGCCGGGCCCCTCACTCCCGACCCGCAGCCCCCCCCTAGCCCAGACCTGCCCTCCAACCCTGCCGGGCCCCTCACTCCCGACCCGCAGCCCCCCCGCTAGCCCAGACCTGCCCCCCAACCCTGCCGGGCCCCTCACTCCCGACCCGCAGCCCCCCGCTAGCCCAGACCTGCCCCCCAACCCTGCCGGGCCCCTCACTCCCGACCCGCAGCCCCCCGCTAGCCCAGCCCTGCCCCCCAACCCTGCCGGGCCCCTCACTCCCGACCCGCAGCCCCCCGCTAGCCCAGCCCTGCCCCCCATCCCTGCCGGGCCCCTCACTCCCGACCCGCAGCCCCCGCTAGCCCAGCCCTGCCCCCCAACCCTGCCTGGCCCCTCACTCCCGACCCGCAGCCCCCCGCGAGCCCAGCCCTGCCCCCCAACCCTGCCGGGCCCCTCACTCCCGACCCGCAGCCCCCCGCTAGCCCAGCCCTGCCCCCCAACCCTGCCGGGCCCCTCACTCCCGACCCGCAGCCCCCGCGAGCCCAGCCCTGCCCCCAACCCTGCAGGGCCCCTCACTCCCGACCCGCAGCCCCCGCTAGCCCAGACCTGCCCTCCAACCCTGCCGGGCCCCTCACTCCCGACCCGCAGCCCCCCGCTAGCCCAGACCTGCCCCCCAACCCTGCCGGGCCCCTCACTCCCGACCCGCAGCCCCCCGCTAGCCCAGCCCTGCCCCCCAACCCTGCCGGGCCCCTCACTCCCGACCCGCAGCCCCCCCGCTAGCCCAGCCCTGCCCCCCAACCCTGCCGGGCCCCTCACTCCCGACCCGCAGCCCCCCGCTAGCCCAGCCCTGCCCCCCAACCCTGCCGGGCCCCTCACTCCCGACCCGCAGCCCCCCGCTAGCCCAGCCCTGCCCCCCAACCCTGCCTGGCCCCTCACTCCCGACCCGCAGCCCCCCGCGAGCCCAGCCCTGCCCCCCAACCCTACCGGGCCCCTCACTCCCGACCCGCAGCCCCCCACTAGCCCAGCCCTGCCCCCCAACCCTGCCGGGCCCCTCACTCCCGACCCGCAGCCCCCCCGCGAGCCCAGCCCTGCCCCCAACCCTGCCGGGCCCCTCACTCCCGACCCGCAGCCCCCCGCTAGCCCAGACCTGCCCCCCAACCCTGCCGGGCCCCTCACTCCCGACCCGCAGCCCCCCCACGAGCCCAGCCCTGCCCCCCAACCCTGCCTGGCCCCTCACTCCCGACCCGCAGCCCCCCGCTAGCCCAGCCCTGCCCCCCAACCCTGCCGGGCCCCTCACTCCCGACCCGCAGCCCCCGCTAGCCCAGCCCTGCCCCCCAACCCTGCCGGGCCCCTCACTCCCGACCCGCAGCCCCCCGCTAGCCCAGCCCTGCCCCCCCACCCTGCCGGGCCCCTCACTCCCGACCCGCAGCCCCCGCCCCGCCCCCAACGCCCAGTCCTGCCGACCCGAAGCCCCCGCTACCCAGCCCTGCCCCCCGGGCCCCTCACTCCCGACCCGCAGCCCCCCGCTAGCCCAGCCCTGCTCTCCAACCCTGCCGGTGCCCCTCACTCCCGACCCGCAGCCCCCCCGCTAGCCCAGCCCTGCCCCCCAGCTCTGCCGGGCCCCTCACTCCCGACCTGCAGCCCCCCACTAGCCCAGCCCTACCCCCCCAGCCCTGCAGGTGCCCCTCACTCCTGACCTGCAGCCCCCCGCTAGCCCAGCCCTGCCCCCCCCAGCCCTGCCCGTGCCCCTCACTCCCGACCCGCAGCCCCCTGCCAGGCCAGCCCTGGCCCCCAGCTCTGCCGGTGCCCCTCACTCCCGACCTATAGCCCCTGCTAGCCCAGCCCTGCCCCCTCAGCTCTGCCGGTGCCCCTCACTCACGACCCGCAGCCCCCCGCGAGCCCAGCCCTGCCCCCCAACCCTGCCGGGCCCCTCACTCCCGACCCGCAGCCCCCCGCAAGCCCAGCCCTGCCCCCCAACCCTGCCGGGCCCCTCACTCCCGACCCGCAGCCCCCCGCTAGCCCAGCCCTGCCCCCCAACCCTGCCGGGCCCCTCACTCCCGACCCGCAGCCCCCCGCGAGCCCAGCCCTGCCCCCCAACCCTGCCGGGCCCCTCACTCCCGACCCGCAGCCCCCCGCTAGCCCAGCCCTGCCCCCCAACCCTGCCGGTGCCCCTCACTCCCGACCCGCAGCCCCCCCGCTAGCCCAGCCCTGCCCCCCAGCTCTGCCGGGCCCCTCACTCCCGACCTGCAGTCCCCCACTAGCCCAGCCCTACCCCCCCAGCCCTGCAGGTGCCCCTCACTCCTGACCTGCAGCCCCCCGCTAGCCCAGCCCTGCCCGTGCCCCTCACTCCCGACCCGCAGCCCCCTGCCAGGCCAGCCCTGGCCCCCAGCTCTGCCGGTGCCCCTCACTCCCGACCTATAGCCCCTGCTAGCCCAGCCCTGCCCCCTCAGCTCTGCCGGTGCCCCTCACTCACGACCCGCAGCCCTCCCGCTAGCCAAGCCCTGCCCCCTAACCCTGCCGGTACCCCTCACTCCCAACTCGCAGCCCCCCGCTAGCCAAGCCCTGCCCCCTAACCCTGCCAGTGCCCCTCACTCCCAACTCGCAGCCCCCCGCTAGCCCAGCCCTGCCCCCCACCCCTGCCGGTGCCCCTCACTCCCGACCCGCAGCCCCCCCGCTAGCCCAGCCCTGCCCCCCAGCTCTGCTGGTGCCCCTCACTCCCGACCCGCAGCTCCCCCCCCCCGCTAGCCCAGCCCTGCCCCCCAACCCTGCCGGTGCCCCTCACTCCCGACCCGCAGCCCCCCCCCACTAGCCCAGCCCTGCTCCCTAACCCTGCCGGTGCCCCTCACTCCCGACCTGCAGCCCCCCGCTAGCCCAGCCCTGCCCCGCCAGCCCTGCCCGTGCCCCTCACTCCCGACCCACATCCCCCTGCCAGGCCAGCCCTGGGCCCCCAGCTCTGCCGGTGCCCCTCACTCCCGACCTATAGCTAGCCCCTGCTAGCCAGCCCTGCCCCCTGCGTGCCCCTCCCCCCACCCAGCTCTGCCCCCACCCAGCGGTGCCCCTCACTCCCGACCTATGGCCCCTGCTAGCCCAGCCCTGCCCCCCAGCTCTGCCGGTGCCCCTCACTCACGACCCGCAGCCCCCCCCCCGCTAGCCCAGCCCTGCCCCCTAACCCTGCCGGTGCCCCTCACTCCCGACCTGCAGCCCCCCGCTAGCCCAGCCCTGCCCCCCCAGCTCTGCCCGTGCCCCTCACTCCCGACCCGCATCCCCCTGCCAGGACAGTCCTGGGCCCCCAGCTCTGCCGGTGCCCCTCACTCCCGACCTATAGCCCCTGCTAGCCCAGCTCTGCCCCCCGCCCCGCCGGTGCCCCCACTCCCGACTTCCAGCCCCTGTCCTCAGAGGTTTGGGCCTATTAACGGGTGGCTCCTGCCGCCCTGCCCCCCAGGCAGATGGGAGGCCTCAGGATTCCTGCATAACTTTGGAGATATGCACAATGCCAGCGACCCACAGAGATGGGCTAGCAGGGGGCTGCAGGTCGGGAGTGAGGGGCACCGGCAGAGCTGGGGGGCAGGGCTGGGCTAGCAGGGGGGGCTGTGGGTCAAGATTGAGGGGCACTGGCAGAGCTGGGGGGTCCCAGGGCACCGATAGCAGGGGGCTGTGGGCCGGCAGTGAGGGGCAGTAGCACGCTGTGGGTCGGGCCTTGGGCTGGGATAGCTGTGGGCCCCATTGGATGCCGTTCCCCATAGTGGCCACCTGGTGGCAGTGCTGCGTACCTGCGGGTGTGCTGGGGGAGGCGGTGGGATACCTGATACCAGGTGAGAGCCCAGAGCTCCAGATTGGGCTCAGTGACTGCTCTGTTCCCAGGTGCCCCCCACCCCCGTCTCCCAGCCAACTGTTCCCCTGGCAACGGGCTCCTATCTCCCCGCTGGATCGGCCTGGGCCATGGTCACACATAGCAACGACCTAGAAAAGCAGCCACTGGTGGTGGTTTCCCTTCCCCCCCATGCCTGGGTTTGGCGGTTTCAAGTTACCCCCTGAGCCAGCCAGTCCTGGGGGCTGGATTGGAGCCAGCACCCCCTGGAGGGGAGAGGTCCTGTGTCCCATTCCTTGCCCCCCTGAGCCAGCCAGTCCCTGCCTTGGGGCTGGATGGGAGCCAGCGCCCCCCAGAGGGGAGAGGCCCCGTGTCCCATTCCCCACCCCCCTGAGCCAGCCAGTCCGTGTCCCCCTGGGCCCCTGTCTGGAGTCTGTTTGCTCGGTGGTTAATTTCTTATCCGCAGGTCTGAGCCGTGTGTGCTCAGCTCCCCCCTTATCAGCCCAGGGACCTGACCGGTTGCTAAAGGGACACAGGAATCCCGTTAGCCGGCCTTCCCCCTGACCCCAGGGCCCCAGCGTGGGGCTAGGGGGCGCGGTGCTGCAGGGAGTGTCACCGGTCCCCAGCTGCCCTGCCACACAGGCAGCCAGCCCCCCCGCAGCAGCCTTCGGAAGGGGGAGTCTGCTGCAGCCAGGCGTGTGTTTATTATAATCTCTTTTCCCGTGGCCTGGAGGAACAAGACGCTGGTGATTCGCCCCCTCCAGAGCCCACCTCCTCCCCCTCCAGCCTGGGGGCGGGCGGTGTCCAGGCACAAGCTAACAACATGATTGTTCATTCACCAGCGCCCTGGTCGCCATAGAGAGCCCAGTGCCCTCCCACGCCTCCCCCGTCCCGCCCACTCACCTGTGGAGGCCTCATATACCCACCCCCACCCCCGCCTCCCCAGCTCACAGGATCCGTCCAGCGAGAGGTGCTGACGGCTGGGAGAGCGAGCCCTGGTGAAAAAGAAGAGGCTTGGCCTCTCCGGGGTGGAAGTGCTTTGGAGAGAGACACCTGGACCTGCCTCCCCAGCCATTCTCATCAGGATCCTTCTCCCGGACGTGTCTCCCCGGACGCTTCCATCAGAATCTGTCCCCTGGATGCGTCTGCCCGGCTGGTTCCTTTAGGATCCGTCTCTCACACGCATCTCCCTGGCTGGTTCCATCGAGAGCCGTCTCCCGGACGCGTCTCCCCGGTGGTTCCATCGGGATCCGCCTCTCAGACACCTCTCTCTAGTTCCACCAGGATCCCTCTCCCAGACGCGTCTCCCTGACTGGTTCCTTTAGGGTCCGTCTCTCACACACGTCTCCCTGGCTGGTTCCATCGGGATCCGTCTCCCAGAGCCATATCCTTCAGAGGGGACTATCTGGATCTCACATTCACGCACCTCGCATAGGGATCCTGTCCCCAGCTGATCCCACAAAGAACTGTCTTCTGGCCTTCTCTCTCCACTACGACCTTCCTTGCCCTGGTGTCTCCAGCCGATCCCCACGCAGAATTATTTCCTGGGTTTCTCTCTCTGCTCAGACGCCCTCGCGTCCCCACTAAGATCCTGCTTCGCTCCCCTTGGCTTCCTCCTCCTCCAGCAATGGCTTCTGCAGGGCTGGAAATCTTGGGCATGGGGCTATGCATCTTCGGCTGGCTGGGCTCCATCATCTCCTGCGCCCTGCCCACGTGGAAGGTGACGGCCTTCATCGGCAACAACATCGTGACGGCGCAGACCATCTGGGAGGGGCTGTGGATGAACTGCATCGTGCAGAGCACCGGCCAGATGCAGTGCAAGGTCTACGACTCCATGTTGGCGCTGCCCCAGGACCTGCAGGCCGCCCGCGCCCTCACGGTCATCTCGGTGCTGCTGGCCCTGCTGGCCCTGCTGGCGAGCGTCGTGGGCGCCAAGTGCACCAACTGCGTGGAGGACGAGGGCGCCAAGGCGCGGCTCATGATCGTCTCCGGCGCCGTCTTCGTGGTCTCCGGCGTCCTCTGCCTCATCCCCGTGTGCTGGTCGGCCAACACCATCATCCGGGACTTCTACAACCCGCTGGTGTCCGAAGCCCTGAAGCGGGAGCTGGGGGCAGCGCTCTATGTGGGGTGGGCCGCCGCAGCCCTGCTGGTTCTCGGGGGGGCTCTGCTTTGCTGCTCCTGCCCGCCCCGCTCCGAGAGATACCCACCCCGGGTCGGGTACATGGCGGCTGCGAGGTCCGGGGTGGGCAGCGGGGTGGACAAGAGGGACTATGTGTGAGGGGAGCAGAGGAGGGGATGGATGGATGGATGGATGAGCACATGGGTGAACAGATGAACGTGTGAACGAATGGATGGATGAATGTGTGAAGAATGAGAGAACGAGCGAATGAACAAGAGAGTGAATGGATGAAGGTGTGAAGAGATGAAGTGAATGAGGGAGTGAATGGATGAAGGTGTGAAGAGGTGAATGGATGAATGAGGGAATGAGTTAGTGGCTGAGGGAATGAATAAACAAGTGAAGGAGGGAGAGAATGAATGTGGCAGGAGATGAATGGGGGAACGAAGAAATGGACAAGTGGGTGGATGAACAAGGACTGATGGATAAGGAGTAGAGGAAAAAACGAGTGAACAAAAGCATGGCTGAAGGGACAGATGAGGGTGCGAACAAATGAACGAGCGGGCAAATGAGTGAAGGGAGGAGCAACGAAGCGAGCGAATGGATGCGGGAAGGAGTGAGTGGATGAGACAATGGATGGAAAAATGAAAAAGTGAGGAAGGAAGGAGGGAACGAATTAAATAAATAAAAGACGGGGTGGGGGCAGAGAGCAGACACGTGGGGGACCAAACAGAAGGAAGGTTGAAACCACAGAGGAACGGCGCGAACGGCACCGTCAGTGAAGGAATGAACAAAGGGCTAATGGACCAAGGAGGGACGGGACAGACACTGTGCCAAGGAAGGAAGGAATAAGCGGCCGATCCCCAGCGAATGAACAGATGGGGCCGTTGGGAGAGATTGAGGGGGCTCAGCCGGGGAGCCCTGACCCCATGGAGCCCGGCTGGACCTCACCCTGGTTTTGTTTGCTCGAAGGTTAATAATTGTCCCAGCTCCCTGGACTGAGACCTGCTAAACCACCCCCTGAACACGGGGACCACCTGGAACCCCCAGCCTAAGGGGCCCCTCTATCCAAATCCAGGGGCCCCAAGATTTTGGGGGTCTCACTCCTCACTGGGGATAGATCCAGGGCTTATTCGGTCATCACTGAGTGGGATTTGAGGGGTTCACAGGGAGTGGGTCTTATGATCCCTGGGTGTGGTTCTTTGAGGATGCTGAACCCCCATTTCCTGACCTCTCTAGGGAGGGGGCTCGGCCCATGTTTCTGAGGATGTTATGGGGATAAAAGAACCAGACTAGGACACTCCGCCCACGCCTCCTGCTTCTCATTTTGGGGTGTGGGGGGGAGGCTGAGTTGTGGTATGAATGGGGAAGGAAAAGGTGGGGGCACAGCTGACGGGAGGAAATAGATTGGGTGCTTGGTTTATGAAGGTAGGGTAAATTGCGGGAGGGAGGGAGGCTTATGGGAAAGAGAATGGGGGTGTGGTTTATGAGGGGGTAAATTGGGGCAAGCATAGTGGGGGTGTGGCTTGTGGGAGGAGAATGCTAGCAACCAGGGCCCCCCCGGAGAGAGGGAAGCGCTCAGGTATGTGGGAGGGGGGCAGGGTATGGCTTTAGGGGTTGAATGGGGGGTGCTGTATGTCCCTCCTCTCCCCAATCTTTGTCCATCCCCCTTCCCATCATGATTGGGGGGTTGCTAGCCCATCTCCCCCACTAGCAGGGGAATGGAAAGCCTTCCCAGAATTCCCCTCAGCTTCACCCAACCCCACCTGGCTGGCTCAGGGGGGCAAGGAATAGGACATGGGGCCTTTCCCCTCTAGGGGGCTCTGCCCCACCCCAGGGCAGGGGACTAGCTGGCTCAGGGGATGGGACAAGGGGCCTTTCCCCTCGCAGGGGCGCTGGCTCTGACCAGCCCTGGGGCAAGGGACAGGACATGTGGCCTTGCCCCTCTGGGGGGCGCTGGCTCTGACCAGCCCTGGGGCAGGGGACTAGCTGGCTCCAGCGATGGGACGTGGGGCCTTGCCCCTCTGGGGGGCGCTGGCTCTGACCAGCCCTGGGGCAGGGGACTAGCTGGCTCCAGCGATGGGACGTGGGGCCTTGCCCCTCTGGGGGGCACTGGCTCTGCCCCACCCCACCCCGGGCCGGCATTTCGGCGCTGCTGTTTCCCTGGATCCCAGCTCGCCCGGCCTCTCCCCCCCCCCCCCCAGCTGGATGGGTACCAGCACATTCCTGTGCCAGCTGAACCTTCCCTGGAGCTGGGGGCGGCTGGCACCAGGAGAGACATCTCCCATCCTCTCCCCCCCACAGGTCGGGGGCGATGCTGGGGGGGCGGGTTTCGTTCAGCAGGGAGGGAGAGGGGTCAGCACAGCCTGAAAGCCAGGCGCACCCCCACCCCAACTCTAGGCCTGTTCGCTCATATACTAAGCCCCTTGTTCCCACACCACACTCCCAGTGGGGGCTCTAACCACTAGACCCCATGCTGCTGAGTTGCTGCCCTCCCCCCAACAGGCTGTTCCCCCTTCAAAGCTCTGGGCAGGGGGAGGGATTCCTCACCTCCAGGCAGCTTTGCAATGGAGCAGGGAAACAGCTACCAAATTAACCCACTTCTCTGCTGCCGAGATGCAGCCACCTCTGGGGCAGAGCAGGTGCATAACACTGTGGAAAGAGCACCCCCTCACCATGCAGCACAGGGCCCCGCCTGCAGCTGGCGAGAGCGCCCCCCCACCACTTTCCACCCAGCCGAGGGCAAAGCCCTGGTCACCCTGGGCCCATTCAGACCCTGCCAATGCCTCCCTTAGCAGCATGGGCTTGGTCTGATCCGCTGCCTGGGGAACCGCCCGCCACATTATCCTGAGGTTAAAACCCAAGCAGGGGACAGAGGAGCCACAACCCCTGGGTTTCATTCCTCCCCTCCCAGAACCAGAGGGTTAGAGCAGGGGGGCTGGGAGCCAGGACCCCTGGGTTCCATCCCCAGCTCTGGCAGGGGAGTGGGGTCTGGTGGGTCAGAGCAGGGGGAAGGGGAGGAGATGCTACTTCCCAGGGCGGCCCTCCCAGTTATCAGCTAGTCACTTCCCTCCACTCCAGCACCGTCCCGTCAGCAGCTACTAGAAGCCGTAGAAGATCGGGCCTGGAGCAGATGGAGAGATGCATTTGAAAGCACTAATGGTGAGGGGGTGAAGGGAGCGGAAAAACCAGTCCCTGCAGCGGGCTTCAGACAGATCCCCCCTCCAGGGAGCACTGCAGGCCATTGCTACGTACAAAAAAATCTCAAGATACTTTATTCGTCATCTATAAAAACAAGCAGATGCTATGAAAAATATCCAAGGACTATGTAGGACACATGCAAAGGTTAAAACTAGGCAACCCAACTTCCATCCTCCTCTAGAGGCAGAGGCTAGGCTTGGGGTGCTCTATTTGACCTCCCCCCAAAGATAACCCTCTAATTTCCAGCGATCAGCCCTTCGAGGGGGCAGGGCCTCGAGCTGGGCGGCATCAGGAGACGTTCTGGGCCTAGGGAGGGGAGAACGGGGCCGGAGAGGAGCTGGGCTGGGGTGTGAGACGACCCACATCTGAGGGGAGAAGAGCTGGAAGGCAGCAGGACGCTGGTGGACCGTGTGGGCCGAGGACCATTGCAGCGTGGTGGGGCCCAGAAGCTAAGGTGAAGCCACCACGAATGGCAGAGACCCTGGGCCTGGCAGCTTAGCTTCCGTCTTCCCTCCACCCGGCAGACGCGGTCCCAGCACCCACCCAGCGAGCTTTGCACCCAGGAGTCTGCTGCGGGGATGGGGCCCCCACCCTCTGCCCACCCCCACCGAGGGGCCCCTCAGACGTAGTTCTTGCTGGGGTAGTCACTGCGGGGCTGGGAGGCAGCGGCCGTGTAGCGGGCACTGTAGTTGGGGTTCTTCTCGGGACAGGTGCAGCAGAGGAGGGCGCCCCCCAGAGCCAGCAGGGCCGCGGCGGCCCAGCCGACGTAGAGCGAGGCCCCCAGCTCCCGCTTCTGGGCTTCGGACACCAGCGGGTTGTAGAAGTCCCGGATGATGGTGTTGGCCGACCAGCACACGGGGATGAGGCAGAGGACGCCGGAGATCACGAAGACGGCGCCGGAGACGATCATGAGCCGCGCCTTGGCGCCCTCGTCCTCCACGCAGTTGGTGCACTTGGCGCCCACGACGCTCGCCAGCAGGGCCAGCAGGGCCAGCAGCACCGAGATGACCATGAGGGCGCGGGCAGCCTGCAGGTCCTGGGGCAGCGCCAACATGGAGTCGTAGACCTTGCACTGCATCTGGCCGGTGCTCTGCACGATGCAGTTCATCCACAGCCCCTCCCAGATGGTCTGCGCCGTCACGATGTTGTTGCCGATGAAGGCCGTCACCTTCCACGTGGGCAGGGCGCAGGAGATGATGGAGCCCAGCCAGCCCACCACCGAGAGCGCCATGCCCAAGATCTGGAGACCCGCTGAAGCCATGATTGGGTGGGAAGGCGCCTGCCGGGAGAGAGAGGGGCGGGGAGGAGGTAAGAAGAACTCAACATGGGGGGGGCCCCCAGGAGGTCTGCGGGGATCTGGCCCCACAGCATTTAAGAGACCCTGCTTTGCAATTTCACCCTCAGTGGGACTTTGGGCTGGGCCCTAGCGTGAAGCGGATACTGAAGGACCTTCAGTTGGACCAGCCAGGAAGGGCAGCAGCCCCCATAACTCCTGAAGGTGTCTCGGCTCACCCGCCCCCACCTGGGGCAGGATCACCCCCAACGATGCCCTCACCCGCCCCCCAGGTCCCACTGGAAGGGGCTTGCACCCCTTCAAGATTTCCCCCTCCCACAACGGCTGCCCTGAAGTGACCCCAAGATGGGGGCTTGGGGGCGGGTGGCAATGGGGGCCGGGGAACATCTCCAGCCCACGCCTGCCACTAGTCCGGTTCTCCTTCCCCTCCTTGGCCATTCCTCAGTGAGTCACCACCTGGCCCGGATCCCCACCTCCATCAACTCGTGGCAACTTCCCTCCGAAACTTGGCTTCTACAACCCAACTGGCTCCCGCCGTGGGGACCATCCTGCCCCAGGGTGGGATGGGGCATCTCGCTGTCCCACTGCCTTGATCCCACCCCGGGCTTCCCCCCTCCCGGCCTGAGCCTCATCAGCCCGGGTTCCCCCACCCCCAGCGGGGGCAGGGAGAGCCAAGGAGGGCAAGCGCCCCCCAGGGCCAGCTGCGTCTGCGCCCCAGGCTCAGGGCTGAGCAAGGCTTTTGGGGCCCCCCCCCCATCTGCTGGCAGCTGTAGAGCGTGTGACGGAGAAGTGCTCAGACGTGACCCCAAGGGGGAGATGCAGCCGTGTGGGGGGGGAAGAGATGGGCCCGGATGGGGCAGCCCCGTCTTGGGCCCTTCTCACCCCCCCCAGTTGGCTTCGACAGAAAGTCGCCCAGCCCCCGCCCATACCTCTGGCTCAGCGGGCTGTGAGGGGGGGAGCTGGCCCACAACTCCTGCCAGGCCAGAGACGCCCCCCACCGGGGCCTGGCACACCCCCCCCCCGGCACGGGCCTGGGTTAGCCCCTGGCTACCCAGGGGACGAGAGACAAGCCCAATCCGGAGGCAAGGCCCCCCCCCCCCGCCACGGTACGGAGCTGCTCCCACACGGGGGCGGGGTGTGAGGGGTCCCAGGACCCCGCAGCAGGGTTTCCACAAGCACCCGGACGCCTGGGTTCCATCCCAGCCCCCGGGGTGGGCGGGGGGAAGGAGCGGAGTCGGGGGTGGGAGCCAGGACGCCTGGGTTCTCTCCCAGCTCTGGGAGGGGAGTGGGGTCTGGTGGGTGAGAGCTGGGGGTGGGCGCCTGGACTCCTGGGTTCTCTGCATTTGTTCCAGCCCCTCGCAAGGCTCCTTTCCAACCCGCCCCGGCCCCGGCACCAGCCCAGGGGCTCAGGAACAGGTAAAAACCCAGAGCCAGGTGTGTGTGGGGGGAGACAAATCAGCTCCTGCCCCCGCCCCCAGCCCAGTGATCACCCCTTCCCCCTCGCCCCCGCCTCGGGCCCGGCCAGCCCCCGGGGACAAAGACCCTCCCCTGTTCTCACCTCAGCCCCATTGTCCGCAGGTTTCTGTGAAACTCCCCCCCCCGCTGGGCAGGCAGTTTCAGATGAAACGGAGGAGGGGGGAGGGGAGCAGCGCGATCCCAGCCTTCCCCGTCCCCCATCCCCGAGAGCGGCCCCTTTGTCCCATAGCCGCGCCGCACACGTGGGCTGGTTGGGGGCAGGCATTGCCAGCCCCGCGGGTCTCTGTGCCCCCGGCCACAAACAGCAGCTCAGGCTCAAGCCCCGGTGTAGGGGGAAAGAATTTGGTCGTTTTAGGCAGGGGAAACTGAGGCACGGGAGACTGCTTGGGGCACACAGGTGGATTAGAACCCAGGAATCCTAACGCCTGCTTCCCCCATGGTCCCACAAACACACTGCTGGGCCAGAGCATGAAATAGGAGTCCTGCCCCCCCCAACCCACAAGCCCCCACTCCCCCCCGCCCGAGAACCCAGGAGTCCTGGCTCCCAGCCCCCCCCGCTCTACCCATTAGCCCCCACTCCCCTACCCGAGCTGGGGAGAGAACCCAGAGTCCCAACTCCCAGCCCCCCCGCTCTACCCATTAGCCCCCCACTCCCCTCCCCAAGCTGGGGAGAGAACCCAGGAGTCCTGGCTCCCAGCCCCCCGCTCTACCCATTAGCCCCCCCTCCCCTCCCCGAGCTGGGGAGAGAACCCAGGAGTCCCGGCTCCCAGCCCCCACCCTCACTAACCTGTCTCTCCGCAGTAACTCTCGCCAAGGTCTGGCTCCCCCCCAAGCCCCAGCACACGGCCTCCCTGCCGCAGTCCCGCAAATTGCAACAACAAGCAGCGGGCAGGCACCTCCCTGGGGGGTTAAATACCGACCTCCCCCCGCCGCCCACTCCCCGTGACATCACCCCCAGGTGAAACTCAGTCCACTTAGCACTGGCCGGATAATTCCCCCGCCCCTGTAAACAAAGAGCCAGCCCCTCTCCCTGCAACTGGCTCAAACTAACCACAGCCCTGGGGCAGCAGCTTGGGGGAGGGGAGGCCGGACTCCTGGGTTCCCTTCCCGGCTCTGGGAGGGGAGTGGGGGCTAGTGGTCAGAGCAGGGGGCCTGGGAGCCAGGACTCCTGGGTTCTCTCCCTGGCTCTGGGAGGGGAGTGGGGGCTAGTGGTCAGAGCAGGGGAGCTGGGAGCCAGGAGTTCTGGATTGTAATTTCTCTCACTTCCCTTTTTCCCCCCAGGTTGAGTCACGGTCTGGCCAGTTTCACTTCAGTTTCTGGTGAATTTCATCACTCCTGTTTCATGCACCATTCTTTGCCATAAGCAGGGGCTCAGGGAAGAGGGGTATCAGAGCGGGGACTCATCCAGGAGCTAAGGGGGAAGGGAGCAAAGGGGGGGGTGGTTCGTCCCAGGAAGGGGGTAGAACCCAGGTATCCCAGCCCCACCCCCTCTAACCCACTAGAGCCCCCCTTCCCTCGCTGAGGAGAGACCCCAGGAATCCTGGCTCCCAGGCCCCACGCTCTGACTCACTAGACCCCACTCCCCTCCCAGAGCTGGGGATAGAACCCAGGAGTCCTGGCTCCCAACCCCCCTGCTCTAACCCACTAGACCCCGCACCCCAACCAGAGCCAGGGATGGAACCCAGGAGTCCTGGCTCCTGGCCCTTTCTTGTCAATGTACCAGCCAGGGTGTGTTCTATGGGAGACCCAAGACAACAGCACCCCTCTGTGGCCAGAAGGGGAATTGATATCGGGGCGGGAGGGGGGGGCAGGGTACAGGGGTGGGGTGTGAGCCCCCCTAGCCCCACAGTGACCCTACAATAACAGGGGCTGTGGTGGATGCCCCATCACTGTCAAGTTTGACCTCAAGATGGGAGGTTTTGCTGAACGCTCTGCTCTGGCTCAAGCAGGAAAACTCGGGGCACCCCTGGGTCCTGCAGGTGCCATCGGCTGATCTGGGGCGGGGTCCCCCCTAAACTGAGAATCTGGGTCATTTGGGTTTGAGTTCCTGTGAGTTTATTATTTAAAAAAAAATCCCCAAACATTTAAAGAGCTGGGACTTGGGAAAAAATCACCTCCATGTTCCTGTTCAAAACTCCCTTTTGGCTCCAAGGAGCCTGTGATTTTATCTGGAAAAAATCCCAAACCAACCGGAATCAAAGCAAACCAGCTCCCGTGTTTGACTTGATGGGTCACAATTTCCGATCATTTTGTCTGCAAAAAATGAAAAACTTTTTTCAAAATCTCAGTCCAGCAAAGATATGAGTTTTCGTTGGCAACCATTTTCCCCATTTGGAACTTTCCTTTAACTGTCCTGAAAGCGAAGCAAAACCGTGTACAAAATCTCAATTCAAAGCAAACATTTTGGTTTTTGTTTTTTGGTTTGCAACCCCGTTGCGTTTAAAAACGTCCTGTCATTTTACTTTAAACTCATTTCAGAAACGTTTTTAAAAAGCTGGACATCAAACCGGAACATTTTGATGGGGTTTTGTTTTAGGGTTTGATTCAACATGACTTCAGATCAATAATTTCCTTTTATTTCGTTTCAGGGGGAAAAAAAACCCAGTGGCTTTGAAGAGCTCAGGATCAACAGAAAACGTTTCATTGAACCCCAAACGAATCTTTTTTGACTTTTTTGATTTGCTGAAACTTTTTCATTTACGGCATCACGTGAAATAGTTTGGTTCCTGATATTTCAAAATTGCCAGTGAACCAAAATATCCCTGATTCTTGCTGGCTCTTGGTAGCTCAGTGATCTCTCAGGCCCAGTTCCTCCGAGGTATTTAGCTGATCTGGAGCTCAGCCTATCTGATCATTGCAAGAGCTCTGACTTATTCTGGGCCTGCATCCAACTGTCTGTGCAGTGCTCAGCCTGGACTCTCTGGCTGGGAAGCTCAGCCCCTAAAGGCACAATTGTCCCCACAGTAGCATGAGAAGATGTGAAGTCTAGCTGGGGCCAGTGGGTTCTTTGGGTGAATGGAAGGAGAGGATGGTTGGTGGGTGACATGCCAGTTTTTCACCCAGAGTATTTTCCTCCCAGCCGTTCACCAGGCATCTGAGTCCACTGCGGGTTGCCAGAAATGGGAGGGGGAAGCTGAAGGAATCCAACAGCAACTGGGATTCACGTTCAAAGAGAGTCATCGGCAAAGGGCAGCTGCTCATGGCTGCAGAAGGAAATCTGTGCAAATGCAGGGGGCTCCTGGACTACAACTCCTACAATGCAACAGGCTCCAGGCCAGGGTGTGCTGGGAAATGTAGTTCCTACACAATCCCCCTCTGCCTGCACCCCAAGACTCAATGTATTTCCAGGGAGCTCATGGGCCAGGTGAACTACAACTCCTGTCATGCTCCTGTAGGGCTGGTGGTTTTCAAATGGCGGGTTGTGACCCAGTACCGGGTCGCGAAATGTCAGGCCCTGGGTCGCGGCGGCTCTGGTCAGCTCCACCGACCGGGCCGTTAAAAGTCCGTTGGCGATGCTGCCTGACTAAGGCAGGCTAGTCCCTGCCTGTTCTGACACCGCACTGTGCCCCGGAAGCGGCCAGCAGCAGGTCCGGCTCCTCGGCGGGGGGGTCATGGGGCTCCGCGTGCTGCCTCCGCCCCCAGCACTGGCTCCGCACTCCCATTGGCCAGTTCTCAGCCAATGGGAGATGGGGGAGGCGGTGCCTGTGGGTGAGGGCCACGTGGAGCCACTTGCACACCTCTACCTAGGAGCCAGACCTGCTGCTGGCCGCTTTTGGGGTGCAGCGCGGTTGGCGGTGCCAGGACAGGCAGGAAGCCTGCGTCTGCACCCACGCTGCCCTGCTGACTGGGAGCCGCCCGAGGTAAGCCCGTGCCCCAATCCCCTGCCCCAGCCCTGAGCCTCCCCCCAACCCGGAGCCCCCTCCTGCACCCCAAACCCCTCATCCCCGGCTTCATCCCAGAGCCTGCTCCCCCAGCCCAGAGCCCTGATCCCAACTCCCTGCCCCAGCTCAAATCCCCCTCCCACTCCCTGAACCCCTCATTCCTGTCTGCAGCCCTCACCCCCACACCCCAACCCTCTGCTCCAGCCCAGAGCCCCTCCCCACACCCCAAACCCCTCATCCCCAGCTCCGTTGGGTTGTGGGCATCAGCAATTTTCTTCAACTGGGTTGCCAAAAAAAAAGTTTGAGAACCCCTGCTGTAGGGGACAAGCCAGAATTCTGTTGGCAGCTGAGCTTGTGTATACATCCAGCTGTGTTCATCAGCAGATCCTTTCATGCTCTGCCAGGTCTGGCCGAGGTTCGTTTATATAAGGTATTTTACACACCGGCCCCCTAGCAACCGAACGGTAAAATACACTGTTGTGTGCGGAGTTGGTGTAGCTGTGTTGCTCCCAGGACCTTAGAGAAACCGGGTGGATGAGGTGCCTCGCCTACATTATCTGTATAATGGTTTAACTTTCCATGCCGTCTCCCCCTTTAAGTTCTGCATTCCTGCCATTTACGATATTTACACCATGTAAGCGTCTCTGAATCGTAGTGGTTTGCTAATTCCATGACCTGAACGCATAACACCTGGGTCCTCTGGCTGGCCACTAGCTGCCGGCCATGGTCGGGTTGGAATCCCTGAGTCTTCTCCTTGTTCTGCATCCGCCATCTGTAGAGTTTGCTCTGTTGATTGTTCTTTCTGAGGAACAAACTGTAGATATCAATGGTTAAAACAAACAAAAAGAAGTATTTCTTCACACAACACACTGTCAACCTGGGGAACTCCTTGCCAAAGGGTGTTGTGAAGGCCAAGACCATAACAGGGTTCAAAAAAGAACTAGATAAATTCATGGAGGATCGGTCCATCAATGGCTATAAGCCAGGATGGGTAGGGAGGGTATCCCTAGCCTCTGTTTGCCAGGAGCTGGGAATGGGCGACAGAGAATGGATCACTTGATGATTGCCCTGTTCTGTTCATTTCCTCTGGGGCACCTGGCACTGGCCACTGTCGGAGGACAGGATACTGGGCTAGATGGACCCTTGGTCTGATCCAGTAGGGCCATTCTTATGTTCTTATGTTTCCATTGAACTTTCTGCAGTCGGTCTCGATCACCTCCAATCTGGGTGCCAAACTAGTTTTCTTCACAACAGCTGGAGTTGTCCATCTTTTTCCACCACCCAGTTTGACATGAACAGGGTCACGAGGTTCTAGACTCGGCCATTCTCTGACTGACACCTGTTGTAAAAGTGTCCTTAAGGTCAATTAGCCTTTTTCTCTGATTTGGCTACTCTTTCTTCACGTCTGGCTATGTTGGAGATCGATTCTTTCCCAAAGTTGGGCCATTAGTTCTGAATCTGATTGGTCTCCCCATCAGGAGTTGTGCTGGACTATAACCAGTAGCCTCTCCTAGTGATGGTCTGGAACTCAAAAGAGCAAGGACTGGATCTTCTTAGGTAACC